ACCCCTTTATATGCATGCAACACAATTTTCGTAAAAGAAACCTTTTCACATTCAGTCACAGGAGTAGACGCTTGGGCGGTGACCACAGCTCTGCTTTAAGGATAAGAATCTTAACTTTGACTACAGAAATGTTTCCGGAAGTGCTGAGTACTGATTTCTTGGAGGCAGCCCTCAATTACATTTGAATGTCATCCCCAAAAGAAAGTAACATATGACAGTAAGTACAGCCTCTTGTGAAGATGGATATTTCCCCTTAGAAAGATCTCAATCTTTCTATCTATATATACACCCCTGGACTAGGTACCATGGAAGATGTGAGAAAACAATAAAACAAAATTGAAATCCCATAGGAGCTTAGAATTCAGAGGGTGAGAAAAGTTTCACTATACAGAAGTAATAATTATTGAATGAAAAACAAAGTAGGATTTATTCACAGAGTTCTGGAATTTTAGAACTAGAAGTATTTTAAAGATTATTCACTGATATACAGAGGAGAAAACTGGAGCCCAGAAGGGTTACCTGAGGTCACACAGTGCATTAGTGGCAGAGCCAGGAAGAGACCACAGATATCAAGAGCTTTGTCTACTTTACCGCACTGTAACAACTATTAAGCATCAATTCTATGCAAGGAAATATACAGCTTGAGATAGTAAATGCAAAATGCCTAGCACAATGTGTGGGACCATCAGCTGTCATCATTATCATAATCACCACCACAATTATAATGGTTAAGAGTACAAATTTTGTGGGCAGAAGACCTAAACAGATATTTCTCCAAAGAAGTCATATAGATGGCCAAGAGGCACATGAAAAGATGCTCAACATGGCTAATTATTACAGAAATGCAAATCAAAACTACAATGAGGTATCATCTCACACCAGTCAGAACGGCTATCATTTAAAAAGTCTACAAATAACAAATGCTGGAGAGGGTGTGGAGAAAAGAGAACCCTCCTGTTGGTGGGAATGTAAATTGGTGCAGCCACTGTGGAAAACAGTATGGAGGTTTCTCAAAAAACTAAAAATAGAGTTGCCATATGATCCTGCAATCCCATTCCTGGGCATATATCTGGAGAAAACTATAATTCAAAATGATACGTGCACCCCAATGTTCATTACAGCACTATTTACAATAGCCAAGACATGGAAGCAACCTAAGTATCCACTGACAGATGAATAGATAAAGAAGATGTGGTACATATATACTGTGGAATACTACTCAGCCATAAAAAAGAATGAAATAATGCCATTTGCAGCAACATGGATGGAACCAGAGATTATCACACTAAATGAAGTCAGAGAGAGAAAGACAAATACCATGTGATAACACTTACATGTGGAATCTAAAATACAACACAAATGAACTTATCTACAAAACAGAAACAGACTCACAAACATAGAGAAAAGACTTGTGGTTGCCAAGGGGGAGGGGGCTGGAGGAGGGATGGATTGGGAGTTTAGGATTAGCAGATGCAAACTAGTATATACAGAATGGATAAACAACAAGGTCCTACTGTGTAGCAGCACAAGAAACTATATTCAGTATCCGGTGATAAACCATAATGAAAAAGAATGCATATATATATGTATAACTTAATCACTTTGCTGTAGAGTAGAAATTAACACAACATTGTAAATCAACTATACTTCAATAAAATTAAGTTTTTTAGCACAAATTTTGGTATTGGAACTGGAGGGTTGCAGTTCTACCACTTATTGTGTAACTGTAGATGAGCTACTTATCTTCTCCAAACCCTAGCTTCTTCATCTATAGAATGGGAATAAAAATAATATCTACCTAACAGGATGGTTATGAGGATTATATATACTTCTCACTTGAGTATGTTCAAACATTAGCTGTACCATTTATTAACCTATATAGGTATACAGAGAGACAGACAAAGATACACACATACAGAGTATTGGTGGAACTTCTCTTTGCTCTGCCAAAAAGAAAGCCAAAAAGTTAACACTTTTTAGCTTTTACTATATAGATATCAGTACACAAAAGTATGGAGCAAAGAAAATAGGAAAAGAAATGCTATTTGGGATAGTACAATATAGAAACTGCTTACTATTCTCAACAAATATACACCAAGTTTCTGTTTTCAAGGAGCTTGTAACCTAGTGGAGGAAGAAACCAGGCTGTTACGATATGGAGTGATATACACGTTGCAAAGCCAGAGTTAAGAGCTGTGAAAGCTCACAAAAGGGCATCCTATTCAGTAAGAGTGGAGGCAGAGAAGTGAGTCTCAGAGGTGGTTTCTCAAATAAAGGAATAAAGAGCTGGCCAAAGATGAGAAGAGTTGGAAAGTGCCTAAAGCTACAATCCAGGTGGGTCCTCAGGATCCATGCCAAACCCCTAGTGTGCCTTCTTACACTGCAGGTGTTAAAGAAGGAAAACACACCTCCCCCATCTCCCTGCAGTTAGGGTTCTGCTCCTGCCAATTAGAAGGTGGATCACAGGCTGAAGCCACCTGCTTTGTTTCTGCTGGCGAACTCAGCTGTGAACACGTTGGGCTTTTCTGCTACATTATTTCAGTGTCTAGGTACTAACTTCACAGGCGTTGAGAGGTAGTCCCAGGAGCAGCAGTGGCTTCCTGATCCTTGGATTAACAGCTACAGTGGTATGTCTTTGAACTCAACAGTTCCAATGGAGTCCCCTGATTCCCCGTCTCTCTGATTATTGCAGAGGTAGCAGCTACCCTGGTAAACCAGCCCAGCAGTCTTGTCCTAGTAATCATTCCTGGAGGCCCCACTTTATCCCTTCACCCTTTCCAATAACTTTGTAAGCTCCTGATTCCCTGAATGAAATCCTTCTTGCTTAAAATGATGTGAATGGTTCCCATTGCTTGAATCAAATACACCAAAAGAATACAAAAATGCAAAATGTGCCATGAATAATATTATTTGCAGGGGTCAGCAAATAACGGGCTGAACATGGGTGTGTAAATATCTCTTTGAGATCCTTTCTTTTGGATATATACCTAGAAGAGGATTACTGGATCATACGGTATTTCTGTTTTTAGTTTTTTGAGGAACCACCACACTGTTTTCCACAGGGGCTGCACCATTTTATGTTCTTACCAACAGGGGACAAGGGTTCCAATTTGTCCACATCCTCGCCAACAATTGTGATTTTCTGTTTTTTTGATGGTAGCCATTCTAATGAGCATGAGTGATATGTCACTGTGGTCTTGATTTGCATTTTCCTAATCATTAGTGATGTTGAGCATCTTTTTATATGCTTTTTGGCCATTTGTATATCTTCTTTGCCCATTTTTAAATTGGATTCTATTTGTTGTTGTTGTTGAATTGTAAGAGTTCCTTATATATTCTGAACATTATCCCCTTATCAGACACATGATTTCCTTGGGTTGCTTTTTCACTCTGTTGCTTCTGCCAGTCCAGTTTTAGTCCATGCTCACGAATGGAAGTCTAGTCTGGAGCAACTTGCTGGCAGTCTGGCCAGATCTGGAGCCGTCTTCCATCCTAAAGACACCAGTGGGAATAAGCCACAGCATCCCTATCTTGGACACTTCAGGTCTTAGATACTCTGATTCCCTGTGATATCGAAAAGTATCTCCATGCTTTACTTTGAACCAGAACAAGCCAACCTAAGGTTTCTGGGGCTGCCAAATTAGAAAGAGCCTCAAGACTGGGTATGGGAGTCATGGAGTAGACTCACCAGATTCAGGTTTTCCACTGTCAAGTACCTGCCACTAGAAAGCTGAAATCAAACACAAGTTTCACATCTGTTTTGTAATTTAGCGCTGCTCCTTTTACTTCAAAGAGTAGTTCGGTTCATCTTCTTTGATTCTCTCTGTTTATCCTGAGGGGATAAAATATCCCAACCCTAGAGACCTTAACGATTTCCAGTAGAATACATAGAGAGTTAATGCATGACTTAGTCTAAAATACAACCCAGTACACACAGTACTTGCTCCAAAAAATCCTTGCTGATTCTGTATTAGTGGGTATGAACTCCAAGGCATGCTACGTTTGCTAAAATATCCTATTTGAAGAGAGACGATTCTGATTTATAGAAGGTCTATTTCCTTTTCTAACTACTACTGCCTTTTGGAAGACTTTAGGAAGCCTTAATGTGCATTATTTTTATGGTCCCCACAAGAAAAGGAAAATGGGATGGTTAAGAGAGCTGCATAAGTTCAAGAAGAAACACTGGAAATGAAAGATCCTAATTCTCTTCTTCCCTGACTTTTATGTTAAGTTGTTGCTATTCAAGGGCCTACATTCAAGTGTTTGTCACTGCATTACCTTTAATCATGAGTATCAGGGATAGTGACATTTATAAATGATTTCAGCTGTAAGTAACAGAAAACCCAAACATAAGTAGGTTAAAAAAATACTTTTTTCCTCATCATAACAAGATATCCAGAGATAGGTAGTTGCTGGCACTGGTTTAAATGTTCAGCGATCTCAAGGCTAAAAGTCGTTCATTCTCTCAACTTTTCGCTCACGGATGAAAGATGGCTACCACAGCTCCAGACATCCTATTCTTTACAAAGTAGAGAGAACAGAGAAGAGATGATACCAGTTCTGGCTGTGCCATTTTATTTGGAAGGCATAAGGTTTCCTGGAACTTCCCCCTCAACCTCAGAAATCTTCAGCTTACTTCTCGAAGGCTGAAACACCACTCCCAGGTGTAAGCAAGGCTAGGAAAACAAAATACATGGGAATATTTGGTTTTCCCACCCCAGAAGCAGGCAAGTGAGAGGGAAGTTGGCAATGAGTGTTGGTCTGCCAAGTTTTAGGGTTTGCCACAGTGAAAACCAGGAAACACCAAAATATTCAAGAATGCAAGACTGACTAAGTGTAACGTGCCATATGAATCCCAGGTAGCTGTTAAAAATTGTGGTACAGAAAAATACTTAGTGGCATCATGCAAAATTATTCATAAAATATCAACTAAAAAATTAACATATAAAACAATAGATGAGAAAACATCAAATTTGTTGGGGTGACCTAAGTTTAGATAGATTTTTAAAAATAAATTTATTTATTTATTCATTTATTTATTTATGGCTGGGTTGGGTCTTCCTTGCTGCGCGCGGGCTTTCTCTAGTTGTGGCGGGTGGGGGCTACTCTTCATTGCGGTGCGCGGGCTCTAGGCACGCGGGCTTCAGTAGTTGTGGTATGCAGGCTCAGTAGTTGTGGCTCGTGGGCTCTAGAGCGCAGGTTCAGTAGTTGTGGCACATGGCCTTAGTTGCTCCGTGGCACGTGGGATCTTCCCGGACCAGGGCTTGAACCTGTGTCCCCTGCATTGGCAGGCAGATTCTGAACCACTGCGCCACCAGGGAAGCCCTAGATAGATTTTTAGAAGTTAAATATATATATGCAAAAAGAAAAAAACTGGAACTTATACTCTGAAAATGTTGACTTAGGTTGGGTTTTCCAGGAAACAGACTCTGAGGCAGAGATTTGCTTGCAGCTGGTTTAGTGGAGAGTGCTCTGTGGAGCAGCACCTGTTGTGGGGGCAGGACTGGGCAGAGGGAGAAGGTGAACTGCAGGGCAGATGCCACAGAGGCTTTAATTGGTTCCATTGGAAGTTCTGAAGCTGAAGTCCCAGACTGTCCCAACTGAGGGACTGTGCCTTGTACCTCCACAAGTGACCAGTCGTGGGATTTGGACTGTCCCCAGGGAGGGGATATAACCTAGCGTGAGGCAGTTTCCTTCACAGAGGCAATTTTGGAGAAGAATTCAACTGTGAGTCATCAGCAGCCAACATTCTTGGCAGCTGTATCTTGAGATCCGGGCAGCACACGGCAGCGTCCACCAGAAATGTCAACAGTGATTATCTCTGGGTTTGGGGATTAAGGTTGGTTTTCTCTCTTTTTAAAAATATTTTCCAAATTTTCCATAATGAATATAATATTGTTCTAAGCATTAAATGAGTTAATTCATAGAAGGCAGTTAGCACAGTTCCTGGAATTTATTAAACACTCAATAAATTTAGCTATAATTATTTTGTATTTATATATATATGTATATACGTGTTCATGTAACATTTTAAAGGGAAAACATAAATATGGATATTGTCAAGAAGAACGTATGAAATAGGATTAAAATAATAACAGAACTTGCTGTTCCTTTTGGCTTATTATTTTTTTAAATATTTATTTATTTATTTGGCTGCACTGGGTCTTAGCTGCAGCATGAGGGATCTTTGTTGCTGTGTGCGGGATCTTTGTTGCAGTGTGCGGGATCTTTAGTTGCGGCATGCGGGATCCTTAGTTGGGGCATGCGGGATCCTTAGTTGGGGCATGCAGGATCTAGTTCGCTGACCAGGGATAGAACCTGGGCCCCCCGCATTGGGAGCTTGGAGTTTTAACTGCTGGACCACCAGGGAAGCCCCTGGCTTATTATTCTTTTAATCTGTGTTTTAATCTGTGAAATTCTTTCTTATGACATTGTTTCTTTCCGGCATGTCCAATAGAACTTTATGTAATGACAGAAATTTCAGGGACTTCCGTGGCAGTCCAGTGGTTAACACCCCACGCTCCCAATGCAGGGGGCATGGGTTCGACCCCTGGTCAGGGAACTAAGATTCTGTATGCCGCACGGTCAGTGTCTGTGCTGCCCAATATGGTGGCCATTAGGCACAGGTGGCCGCTAGGCACTGGAAATGTAGTAGAGCAAATGAAAAGCCAAGTTTTAAATTTTATTTAGTTCCAATTCATTCAAATGTAAATAGCCACATATTGCTAGTGGCTACCATATTGGACAACGCAGCTCTATACCAATATTAGGCAATGGTTATGTAGAGAATAGACCTAAAATATTCTTTCTCCAAGTTTGGATTCGTTCCTCAACTCACTACCCTGTATAATCTCCTACTTGTGATTTCAAAATCACATTTTATTTACACATTTTATTTACACATATTTATTTACATATAAAATAAATTTATATTTATTTACAAAAAAGGGCTGCTGTTGGTGGTGGTGGTCAGACTTTTAAAATATACAACAGGGAAAGTAATTTAGTTGAAAGGTGCTAAAGAGCTACATAACGTATTGCTAACTGTATGGTATCTTTTAGTAAATAATCCAAAGAGAAAATGAAAGAGGTTGTTCCATATCATATATCTGGTTCCTCTTCGTAAGCTAAAAGAGACTTCTCACCAAAATCATACTTTTCAACCATACTGTCCATATAAAAAGGGAGATAACTGCAGAAACAATTTGAAAATGCCTAAATAACAATGTGGAAGTCTCTTACCTCTTAGATGGGAGGCATATGTATATGGTAGGAGACATATGTATATGGGGATAACTCACTAACAGCAGCCAAGTTTCTGGAGAAAAGAGACACAGATCTTGGTTTGCATCTCACCCTGCGAGTTAATGGCTGTGCGTACTTTGAACAAATTACTTAACTTCTCCATAATCAAATGGTGATAGCTACACCTGCCTTGAAGATGAGTTGAAGATTAGTGATATGTAAAGCACCTGGCATATAGTAAGTGCTAAATCAATGACAGTTTTATTATGATGTTAGTATAATGTGAAGAAAACAGATCAGCAAAAAGGAAGTAAGCCCAAATACTTAAAAACTGGCGTAGGAATTAACTGGAATAATCATTAAATTGTAAAATTATTTTTGGTATATTTGTTTTATGTGTATTTCAACCACACAAAATTTAGTCAACTGTTTATCAAATGAATGAAAAAAATGGATGCTTGAATAAATGAATGAATAAATGCCTTGCCTGTTTTTAATATCATTTTGCCTCCCAAATGGGTTGTTATCACTAAAATGGTTTTGTCACTGGCATTGTCACTAGGGATATTTTCAAAGACTCTGTAAAGAGCAGTATCAAATCAATTGTCTTTTCTAGACTTAACAGGAGGGATTAGGGCTGATATTAAGAAACAACTTCTTGAGCAATATTACTAATGGAGCAGTTAAGAGCTTCCATCCTTAGATATTTTTAAGAAGACAGATAATACTCCATGCTGGAAATGTCATCATCTTCTGTGGCAGTTAGCTTCCAGGGTAGCCTCCATTGAACCTTACTTCCTAAGTCAATCAAGGATGGTCCTGAATATGGCTGAGGTGATGTGTGACTTCCAAGGCTATGTCGTAAAAAGCATTGCAGCTTCGGCTCCGGTCGATCAGATTGATCACATGCTCCATGATAAGCCAGTAGCCATGCTGTGAGGAGGACACTCAAGCCATCCCATGGAGAGGCCCATGTGGCCAACAGCCTGTGCCAATCCACTGGACATGTAAGAGAGCCACCTTGAAAGCAGACTCTCCAGCTTCAAACAAGTCTTCAGATGACCACAGCCCTAGCCAACATCTGACTGCAACCTTATGAAACACTGAAACAGAAATGCCCAGTTGAGCCACTCTTGAATTCCTGACTCACAGAAATTGTGAGAGGGAATATATGACTTTTATTGTTTTAAGTCACTAAGTTTTGGGGTTATTTGATATGCAGCCAACATATCATCAATGGCAAACATTTATTGCTACTGTCCAAAATGTCCTGCTAATGGGCTGAACCAGATGACCATTTTTTTTTTGAACCAGATAACCATTTAAGGTAACTTCTATCTTTGTAACATCAACCTTTTAACAGCTTATCGTGTAATGAACTCAGTATCTTTTTCCTATAAAATTCCTATGAGACAAGGAGAATCAGCCAATCAAATATTTAACAAACATCCATTAAGTCTGTGGAATTAAAGAACGTCAGCTAAAATTGGAGTCAGGACACACCTGTAGGGAGAGCTCTCACAGCTGTGCATCATCAATTACTCCAAATTGGAGTACCTACATACCCCTACATCTCTCCCACCGGAAGGTACTGCCTACTTTACTATCCAGAAGGAAGAAGAAAACCATCTTTCTGGCCAACCACAGCCCAGCCAATCAGAGACTGTAGCACCCTGGCCAATGAGAAGCCTCTATACTTTGGACTGCCAGCTTCCTCCAGTGAACTCTTTAGTTATGATAGCCCCTACCAAGGCCCCCCTTTTCCCTATAAAAGCAAGCTCCCCTTCCATGTTCTCTGGATTTGCCTATGGTCCACCACAGTTCCCATAACCTGAATTGCAATTCCTCTGGCTATTCCCAAATAAACTTGTTTTGCTGGTAAAATAACTGGCTACTATTAAAGATGATAAATTCAAGGTATTACTCTAGGTGCTCTGCTGATTAAAAGGTATGATGATGCTAATGATAAAAATAACAATAATAGTAACAATGATAAGTATTACTAATATTTATTAAGCATCTACTTTAGACACTGTGCATATACTCTCATTTAACCTTAATATACATGGCCAAATGTTTTCCAGGAAGGTCATACCAAATTACACGCCCATCTGCAGTGTATAAGAACAGAGTCACTGTATGTTTACCAGCACTTAAAAACAATTTTTTTTAATCTGATAGGTGAAAAATACAATAGTTTAATCTGCATTTCTATGATTACTAGGTCTTGACATGTTAAGCACATCAAACCTTTATCTGACATACATTACAAATATTTTCCCCCCAGGTTGGTATTGTGTTTTCTTGAAATTTTTACAGTCAAGCCAATCTCTTCCTTTGTAATTTCTTCCAGTTCTTTTGTAATTAGGTTCTTCTCTATTTCTAGATCAATTAAATTTTCACTTGTATTTCTTTCTAGTTTACATTTTTTTGTTTTTGACTTTGAGTTTACACAGTAATTTACTTTGTTAGACTTTCGTTTTCTTCTCTATTCTCTTGTTTTTTAAGTGGAGTATAGTTGCTTTACATGGCTGTGTCAGTTTTATGTTTTTTTTTTTTTTTTTTTCGGTACGCAGGCCTCTCACTGTTGTGGCCTCTCCCGTTGCGGAGCACAGGCTCCGGACGCGCCAGACGCGCAGGCTCAGTGGCCGTGGCTCACGGGCCCAGCCGCTCCACGGCATGTGGGATCTTCCCAGACTGGGGCACGAACCCGTGTCCCCTGCATCGGCAGGCGGACTCTCAACCACTGTGCCACCAGGGAAGCCCTATGTTTTGTTTTT